CACACACTACTGAGCCTCATTTTGACTTGTTTTAAGGTAATTACATCAAAGTTGGATCAACCTGTAGTGTGGTTTTCCACTTTAATTTTGAGGGTGACTCCAAATCCAGACCTCCATGGGTTGATAAATTTGATTTCCATTGATAATTTTTGTGTGATTTTGTTGTCAGCACATTCAACTATGTAAAGAAAAAAGTATTTAATAAGATTATTTCATTCATTCAGATCTAGGATGTGTTATTTTAGTGTTCCCTTTATTTTTTTGAGCAGTGTATATGACTTAACAAATACCTATCTTTCCTCCAATCAATGAAGTTTTACTCACTCCAAAATTAATCTGTTAGGTATGGACAAAGTGAGTAGCACTAACCTCTTCTCCTGCCCTCTTTTCTCTCATCCAATCAGTGGTCCTCCCAAGCACAAGCCCCCTCCCCCTGTGAAGGCCGGCAGCTCCACTGAGATGGTGAGTGGTCCACGTCCCTGTCACTCAGGGCTCATTATTACTGAAGGTCATAAACAAAGACTACGTATGTAACCACGGTTATGTGAGCTATTGGATCACTCCAATATGGTATCCTTCCGCTCTGCAGGATACATTCCAAGTATGAATTTCAGATTAGTCCCGTGTACCGGGTAGTGCTGCTGCAGACCCCCTTAAATAGCTGCTCCCACACTACTCCCACCTCGTGTCCTTTTCGAGGCGCCGTAGATCACCGACAAGAGGATTGGAGTGATCTAATAGCTCACATAACCGTGGGTACATACGTAAACTTTGTTCTGTAGCACTATATTGGATCACTCCAATATGGTATCACAATACCAGATTAATCGGTGAACTAGGCATGGCCAGACGAGCAAAATCCCGTAGGACTGAGCTCAGGGCAGTCATGGTTGCTGTGTCCCTCTGTTCCCCTCCAGGGAAGTGGAGGCAACACCCAACACGGCCGTCCCAACCTGGTTGGTGGCAGCAACATTGACTCGATAGCATCTAGCAAAAGTTCTAGATGACGCCCAACTGGCCGAGGTGCAAATGTCATCAAGGGGAACTCCTCGGAGCAGGGCCCACGATGTAGCTACTCCTCTAGTAGAATGTGCTACTACAGCAGACTGCAGAGGCCGGCTGGCCAGCTGATATACTGTAGTAATAGTGTCCACATCCAATGTAAGAGTCTTTGTTTCGATAGGCTCTTCCCCAGAACTCTCTGACCATAACACACAAACAGCTGATCCGACTGTTGTATTGTCTTAGTCCGTGTAACGTAAGTGTCCAGTGGCCTCACCGTGCACAACACACTTGGGGAAAAATCTAGCCCACTCGCAGCCGTGGGAGGTGCGTATGTAGACAAATGTAAGGGCCGGTTCACATGCCTGTCAGACTGGACCTTCGGCAAGAAAGAGGGTTAGGCCGGATGGTAACACTCCCCTTGTCTACATCTATTCGGAAACATTCAGCGCTCACTGAAAGAGCATGAAGTCCACTAACCCTCTTAGTGGAGGTAATAGCCAACAGGAATGCCACCTTCATGGATAGGTGCTTCAAAGACGCTGACCCGGCCTAGGAAGTGCTGACAGCACCACATCAAGGTCTCAGTTTGGCAGTGAACGGGCATTCGCTGGACGCAGACGTCTAACTCCCTTCATAAACTTGGAGAGCAATGTGTGGCCACCCATGGGTCCCTCCAGGCCATCGTCATGACACGCCAAAATTGAGGCCAAATACATTCTCAAAGTGGATGCCGCTCGGCCTGCATCAGGCAGTGATTGTAAAAAGTGTAAAACAATTTGTACATCACACGACTCGGGGGCAACATTATGACCCCCACACCAGAATATGCCCCACCGCATTTGAAATTACGTGTTGGTGGAGGAAGCCCTGACGTTCTGCAACGTGTTCACCACATTGTCCTGAATGCCTAAACTTGCCCATTTACTTCTCTCAGGGGCCAAGCCCAAAGCGGGAGGTGGCGCGGATCCGGATGCCACTGCGTCCCCCGAGCCTGAGAGAGTAGGTCGGGTCTCAATGGCAGCTGCCATGGGTTCCCAGAGAGGAGGGACAACAGGAGGCTGAACCGTGGTCGTCTCGGCCAGTATGGGGCTATCAGGAGCAGCCGGTGGCCCTTCAAGCTGACCCTGTCTAGCGTAGCTGTGATCAGGGGAAATGGTGGGAATGCATAAAGTGCCGTTGCCGTCCAATCGTGAGCGAGGGTGTCCAAACCCAGAGGGCCTGGAGGGTCCGACATCGAGAACCAGCTGGGACAATGAGTGTTCTCCTGAGATGCAAACAGGTCCACCTGTGCTCTCCCGAACCTTTCCCACAGCTGTAGCACCATCTGAGGGTGTAGACTCCAGTCCCCTTCCGGCGGACCATTTCTCGAAAGCATGTCTGCTGCCCGGTTCAGGACCCCAGGGATGTGTGCTGCCCGCAGTGACGCTAAGCGGGTCGGAGCCCACAGCAAGAGCTCCCGAGCCATTTCGTGGAGGTGCCGTGATCTCATTCCCCCCTGGTGATTTGATATATGCCACTACCATGGTGTTGTCTGATCTGACCAGGACATGCTTCCCCTCCAAGTAGGGCAGGAACTGTTGGAGTGCCAGGCGAACCGCCCTGAGCTCCAGCACATTGATGTGCTCGTCACTCCATGGGGGGCTCCAGCTTCCGCTCGCTGCCATGCCTCTGAACACTGCCCCCCAACCCGCTAGTGAGGCATCGGTGCACACTAGCTCCCTGCGGTGGACTCTGTTCAGTGTCACTCCCTCCAACAGGAAGGGTTGAGTTTGCCATTTCAAGAGTCCTCACACATGCATTCGTCACCGATAGCTGACGATGTCTGTGTCGTCTCTGGTGTAGATGGTGAGAGTTGAACCATCGCTGGAGTGGTCTGAAGTGAAGAAGGCTCAGCAGAATCAACAGAGAAGCCGACGTGAGTAGGCCGAGTAACTTCTGACACTCTAATACCGACATGGCTCGTCCAAGCTGGAAATGGTCTAGGTAGGCCTGCATCTTCCCCAATCTCACCTGAGGGAGACGTGCTGTCATGAGTTGAGTCGGTCAACATCCCCAGGAAGAACACCATCTTTGAGGGAGTCAGGTTGCTCTTCTCCCTGTTTAGGGTGAGGCCCAGGTCTTGAATGTGCTTCAATATTATCCTTGTCTGCTGTGGCACACTCCAGCCAGTCGTCCAGGTAGTTCAGCACTAGAATGCCCTGGGACATGATAGGCGCTAGGACTGCGTCCATGTACTTTGTGAACGTACGTGGTGCCAGTGAGAGGCCGAACGGGAGGACTTTTAATTTGTAAGCCAAACCTTCGAAGGCAAACCGGAGGTACTTCCAGTGATCTCGATGAACAGGAACGTGGAAGTACGCATCGTTCAGGTCGAGTGTGGTGAACCATTGGCCGCTCGAGATTGCCTGCAACGCCCGCGCTGGTGAGAGCATTTTGAACATGAGCTCCTTTAAACATTTGTTGAGGCCACATAGGTCCAGGATAGGCCAAAAGCTGCCATCCTTTTTCGGAACTGAAATACGTGGAATTGAATTAGCCGTTCTAGCGGCTCCCTCACCCCATCTGCCACCGAGGTGACCCAGATGCCCCTGTAGGGCAGTGGTCGGCATCGGAGCTGGAGCTTGTATCCCCACAGGACTGTGTCCAGTACCCAGCGAGACTCCACCTGCCTCTCCCAGTTTGCTCTTTGGGCCTGGGAGAGACAGCCCAGGCCGACCGCCATCACCTCAGGAGGACTGTGGGGGCCCATCCTTCTTAGCTGTGTGCCGCTGCTTATAAGGGTGGTCATGTAGCCTGTCCGTGTGCTGTCAAGGTGTAACATGCCAGTTCCCATTTTCCTGCCCCTGCTGTCTTGGAGGGGGAGGAGGGGAACCAATACGTTGCTGGAGCGCTCTCAAGACATCCTGCCCTGTCTTCCAGCTCCTCCAAGGGGCGGCGGTAGGGTGCGCAGTTAACAAGTCTCTCTGTCTTTGCGCAGTTTTGTAGTCTGCTGTATGATGTTGTCAACCCCTGGCCCAAAGGTGGAACCTGGTGTGAAGTGGAGCTCCAATAATGTTTTCTGAACTGGCGGTGGGAGTTTAGACTGTGCCAGCCAATGATGGCGGCGTGAAGTCACCACTGAGCCAAAGCCTTGCCGTTAGCATGTGCCAAGTCTGTCTGGAGCATAGTGAGCAGCCTTGACACCACTGTGGCCTCCTTAAGAAGCTCGTCACTACCCTCTGGGAGGCGAGCAATCAGCAAGGCGAGGTAGGATTGCAGCATCGTAGCTGCGTTTACGAGGCGTGCCATGATGGAGGGGGTGCCGTTCATCGCTTACTCTTTCAGGTCCTGGTTTGAGGCGAGGCACCTTGCCAATGATCTCCTTGTCAGGGAGGATCATGGCAGCCACCATGTCATCCATTACCGGATAGTGGTCTAGCCCCAAGGACTCTGCATCCCTTAGGAGAGTCCATGGCCTGGTCTGGTTGTCGCAACAGAAGCGCCCTCCAATCTTGCTCCAGTATTTGCGGAGAGCCAAAGCGAACTTGGGGCAGATAGGGATAAGGAGCTGCTCAGATGGTGCTTCTTCCAGCTTGATATCAAGGGAGGTAGCACTCTCCCTAAAAGCTCTCATGTTGCTTTCGTCACCACCGGGGGTGCCTCCGTAGTGGTGCTCCCAGCTACAGATGGCGCTTTGGACTGGGTCAATCCCTGATCTGCTTGGAACACTGAAGCACTGTCACCGAACTCCAACTCGTCTCCAGCGTGGAGAGAGAAGGCGTCGTTGCCGTCATCATCCCCCCGTAAAGTGTCCACTTCCTCCCGCAGACTTTCCACCTGACGTTCAAGGCGGATCAACTACTCAGCCGTACTGAGTTTGGGGGACGGGCGGCTGAAAGGGTGCTGCCGCGACTAAGCATTACCCCAGAAGGGGGGAATACGGTCATCAGATGGGGAGGACTGTACTGTGGCCTTCATCCCCTCCAGTCGTGCTAAGAGCATGCGTTCTCCAAAGGATGCGCAGGCCAGACAACTATTGGGTTCTCCAACCACTCTCTGTGGATGATCTAGCTAGCTGCTCCAAGGTATTGAATAGCTGCGGATATACCTCTGCGCTTATACACTCTAACATAGAGCTCTTACCAAGTGAATCTTCTCTGGAATGAGCCGAGAAAAGGAAGAGGTGGGTGTAGTGCGGTGGCAGCTATTTAAGGGGGTCAGCCTCAGCACTACCCGGTACATGGGACTAATCTGAAATTCTTACTCGGAATGTATCCGAGCGGAAGGATACCATATTGGAGTGATACAATATAGTGCTACATAACCACATACAATAGTGCAGTTCTTAATTGGGCTAATGGCTATTGATTGGAGATGAGTGGCCCAGTTATCCGACTTTGACCTCTCCACGACTCCACAGCTGAACAAGCCTGTCACGGACCCAGTGACGAAGGAGTTGACAGAGACCCAGCCTTTCAGTAACGTCTACTACGAGACCAGCGGAGAGCCTGTCACGGTAAGAGGACATCTTCCAAACTCCATACTCTGGGTCGTGATCATTAGGTCACACCAGAAAATGAATGTTTCTTATTGTACTTAAGTCCAGGTAGTTACTCCATGTTTCATTCTGTTGTCTGCCATTGGGTGCCTAATGAACACGACCCCGGACTCTCTCTATATTCACATAGTGCTGCTTACGGTCTTTGATTTACTAGCTGTAGGCTACTGTATATCGAAATGTCCCTAAATTTACATTTTTACATTTTAGTCATTTAGCAGACGCTCTTATCCAGAGCGACTTACAGTTCGTGAGTGCATACATTTTTTCATACTGGCCCCCCGTGGGAATCGAACCCACATCCCTGGCGTTGCAAGCGCCATGCTCTACCAACTGAGCTACACGGGACAACTGGCTGCTTTCTAGACTCTACAATCAGTCTCTATCTACTTTATCGTCAGATCACTCACCCTTTTGAACTATATTATAACATTCTGCCTACATTGTCCCTCAACAGCTTGACTATTTTGAAAATATTGAACTATTGAGCAATGCATGGTCAAGGAGTGGATTTTGCCTACCATACCACATCTTGAGAGTTCAACCAGGATCTTTTGATATTACAGGATCTGGATGCCTGTGATGATGACGATGGTAACACCACTGGTGGTGGGGCTGCTAATGGTGGCGGCCATGCTGTCCTGGAGGACTCAATACAGTATGCCGATGTCGAAACAGTAAATGACGAAGCCCTGCCACCGTACTCCGACGCGGACGGTCACCACGTCGACAAGCCGCCGTCGGCCGCTGTGGCCCGTGGAGAAAGCTTTGTGTCGGCAGCCATGTATGTTTAGCAGGTGACGTTTAGGTCTCCATAATGACACAACAACAACACCGTGCCTCCACTCGGCTACATTGAACAGCACAGAGTCCCAGCAAGGCTCTGGACAGATCGGCACAACTCCAGCCTCCCGATGTGGTCAAATCCTAAATGCAGTGTTTCCTACTGTTGTGATTCAGGCAAGGTAATATCACCGGAAACAGCATTCAAAAATATCACCTGAAACTGGTTGTTTGAATGTTGCAATGTTACACCATTCAGTAAGCATCCTCAGACCAAAATGCCATTTTATGGCAGTATGAACAAAATGAGGTTGTCACTGCTTTATAACATTGCAACATCAAAGTTTAAGACTCTGACTCATGTTTTGGGTTCAGTCTAAATTGCAAGAGCTGGCAATACTGCATTATTAGGGTAACGAAATGTGACATCTTGGTTTACAGCAAAGCACACAATGCACACACAATTATCAATGTGCGCGTAATTCCCCCCCACAGGAAAGATTACTGCTAACATTTAAGTCAAATTAAGTTAAAATTATAAGGATTGTATTTTCAGAGTGTCAAAATACACGGCAGATATTGGAGAATACTGCCATTAGTACCATTTTATGTAGATGAAGTGGTTAATATGCTCTAATATATGCTGTATATTTTACACATAGCAAAATATGTATTTTAATATTTTGTATTTTAGTCTTATTCTAAAGCCTTTTATGTACTGAAACACAAATGTGCAAAACATCATTGATGAACAATTATATGAGACCGTATCAAGTTGGTCAAAGATGTCATAGTGAACCAAATGATCAATGAACACTGTAAATAATATTGATGATTAATATATTGTCGGTGAAATGTGTGCACTTAAAAAAAAAACTAGTGTAAGTGTTTCCAGAGCCTCTGTGTATAGGGGTGTCAGTTTCCATGTGAAATTGAAGAGAAAAAAAAGTGTACATTATACTTTAACGGGTATTGAAGTTGTCAGTCACAATTAATATACAAATGGTTTGTGGATTTTAGTCCTTATAACTCTGCATGGCATGATCAATGGCTTGTTTCAAACAGTTGGCTCACATTTCCCAAGGCAGACACCAGGCTTTATACTTTTTGAATGTTGTTGATGTCTTTGCATTCCTCCATTGTATCGTCTACTGCAAGCACAACACATTGATGTAGAGCAGTGGGGTGGTTTAGGCTATACAGAAGGCGCACAACATGACTTGCTGATACATAAGTCAGTCAGTATATGACTATGTTCTTTCCACAGAGTGCTTACTGCAGGGTGCAATAAACAAAAAGTTGAATCGAACTCTTGCTGAGTAATGGGAACAAATCATTGGTTCTGCGTGTTCCAAAGAGTTTGAGTCGCACAATTCCACGAGGGCATTGATCTGTCAGTGTCACCTCAACAGACACCTAGAGAATCAAGCCTATACTTGCTAGGTACATGAACTTGTTGAATAAAAAAAGACACAAAGAAATAGACACAAAAATGAACAAAAAGCACATGTATTAATGTAGATATGTATGTAAATAGATAGATACTATAGACACTAATGATTGATAGACAGATATATACTATATAGATGGTTAAAAGTAGATGGCCGGGTAGACCGATTTATATGGACACATGGCGAAATAGAACACAGTAACTGCCTACCCCACTGTTCTTTAGTCCATCACAGTCAGTGCATCACTTCAATATTATAGTTTTTTGATGTGACAATCACTTTGAAAACAACTGTCATTGGCTTTTGGTGGAGCTTCGGTTTCTATGGTGTTTCTTTTGAAGGGAATGTCTGCATGCTGCATGGAACTATGGGTAGCTCAACTTCTCTGTGCAAAAAGAGTCATGTGGCCATTTTGAAAACATATGGCTGTGGGCGGCGGGCTCGCATAAAGTGCTGCAGTATCAGACAATCACATCTGTATTTTATAAACCTTACACAGGTCAGAGTTCAAAGGGAAATTAATTGTGCATTGTTTGGTTTTAAAAACTGTGATTCCATTTATTTTGTATTTTTTGTGTATTTTATGTATTTCATAGTGTCGTCAAATATATTATACTGTTTTGTGTATTGCCTATAAAAAGAGCCTCAAAATTGAAGATGTGTTGATATATTGAGCTTAAAAAGACAATCATTGGGACCCCTGGGTTTGTTATTATCAAAGACCAATGAGTCAGCAGTCTGTTTAGTTTAGTTCTGTTGTTTTATACTCAAGGCATCTGCTAACTACTTCTCGCTGCAGCAGGAGTTGCTGTGTGTGTTTGCCAAGAAATTTGCCTCCTCTCCAATAGTTTTGAAGCCAAAAATACAAACTGTGAATGTTAGCGATAACGCTAATCTGAATCCGGTCTTTTTCCTTCCCTGCTTGTTTAGTCATCTCACATTCATTGTTTCATCACCAAGCCAGACGTGCCTTAGTTACTTTATTTTTAGCTTGTTAATTTACACATTTGTTTCTGTTTTAGAAAATAAAGACGAGATTTAAAAAAACATGGGGTAACCTCTGATTGTGGAAAGCCAAACACTTAAGATTGTGATTTCTTTATTTTTCTCTTTTCTTTCTTTCCATTTTTTTCTTTTTCGTATGCTTTTTGGGAAACGTATTATATGTTTTACGGATCATTGTCTTGTCCAATAAAATGTAAACCAAAGGCCCTGAACGTCTCGCTGTATTCTCTTAAACTTCTAATGAGTCACAATGACTTGCAGGCCTTGAGTCCTTTAAGGCTCCTAAATGACCAACCAACATGTGCTATTGACAGCATCACAACCTGCGGCACTATAATGTCCAGTGGTAACTTACACTGATTGCCCTTCGTTGCCCTGGACATGTATGTGCCTGTTACCATTCTATATCCAGCACCCAAGTGATATAGCCTAGCCTGAGATCTGTCACCATGCATTTGTTAACCTCTGTCTTAATTAGTGATATACATCTATAGCCTGCGCATCTGATGAGATGCATTCAGAGTACAGAGATTGTCCCATGTCAAGAGTAGTTAACTCAAGTAAAGGAAAAGAACACGCTTGAATGGATTGTGATGGAAGATGATTAAATGTTACTAGCAACGATGCGTAAACAGCGATTAGAGGCCGCAAACTCTCAGCCATTTGCTGTTTGTCCTTTGACTGCTGTGCTTGAGTGACAAATACATAGAGATAGAGAAATATAAATAGAATGAATGAAAGGGATAGTGGTGGCCGATAAGAGCATCTGGTCTTATCTGTCCTTCACCACCAGCAGTTAGCATTCCCAGTCTGCTAGGTGGTTGCTACTTAAAGTTTACAGGACATTTACAGTATTAAGCAAGACTGCCTTCTCGTCTTGTGCACCAGAGGCATGGAATAGTCTACAACCCATGCTTCATCTAGATATGTTAATGCCATTGAATGAATTTACAATTTTGATGGGAGACTCTGTTACAGAGGAGTGTAAAGGCTTTTTTAGGCTGGATCATGTTGTCGAATTGTATTGTTGTATCTTTTAATTCTGTAGTGTATTGATTGTTGCTGACTTCTTGGCCAGGTCTCCTTTGAAAAAGAGACTCTGGGTCTCAATGGGCTTTTCCTGGTTAAATAAAGGTTCAATAATTAAAAAGAGGTAGAAAGGGAAAGAAGGACAGAAGGAGAGTGGAAGATGGTGTCCTCTGCTGGTTCACACTTGGATCAGCATCACATGTAAGATTTTGTAAGCTCCTTTCATTTTTAGTTCATTAATGAAACAGCTCACAACTTTCTAAATTTGATTCCCTGTCTTGCCTAAATTACTCCTGGTTTTGACAAAGAGTTTAATTAGTCTGCTGACACCAGTTAATCAATGCTATCATGACTGAGGATACCACAGGAGGTTGGTGGCACCTTAATTGGGGAGGATGGGCTCGTGGTAATGGCTGGAGCGGAATCAGTGGAATGGTATCAAATACATCAAACATGGTTTGATGCCATTCCATTCGCGCCATTCCAGCCATTATTATGAGCCGTCCTCCCCTCAGCAGCCTCCACTACACATGAGCAGCGCTCCACTTAAATGTATAGTATGTCATACAACTATACTGATCAAAAATATAAATGCAACATGCAACAATTTCAAAGAGTTACAGTTCATAGAAGGAAATCAGTCAATTGAAATAAATAAATTAGGCCCTAATCTATGGCTTTCACATGACCGGGCAGGGGCGCAGCCATGGGTGAGCCTGGCTCCCCAGTGGGTGGGCCTATGCCCTGCCAGGCCCACCCACTGAAAATAAGCAAAATAAGCTTTTTGTGCATATGGAACATTTCTGGGATCTTTTATTTCAGTTTATGAATCATGGCACCAACACTTTACATGTTGCATTTATATTTTCAGTAATCTGATGAAATGATGATCATTCATCCAAAAGGTCAGCCCCAGTGCACATTTCAAAGCGGCAGACACTGTCACAGTTTATTTTACTCTCGCCATGGCAAATTACAGTATATCTGAGGGTTATGTGTGTAAACATATCCTCTGGAGGCTCAAGCACAGACTAATTCAGGAGGATTTAGCCTGTAAAAATGTTAGGCATCACTAGGCATGCCGCTTGTGGAAATTGTTGTCATTTTTGAGCTGCTGAGGCAGGCATGCATACATCTGTTGAAGCACATAAACACATAAATCACAGTCATTCCTGCAGGGGGTGGTTGGGTAAACAAAGAACCAGTAACACACTTCTCAAATGATGGCCTTAAACAGATTAGGGAGCGTTAAAGGTGCAGTCTGAGATTAGTTATTCAGCAAAACAGCAGCCCGTTACTTGTTTTGGTGTACAGGTGAGGGATGAGGCTGGGGAAATATAACCACTCCAACGCATCTGCAAATTCATAGACCGCGCTCTTGCTGCAAGGACTGACAGTCCATGACATCCACATAATAATTGTAAACCTACTTAAAAGCTATACATTGTTTACAAAGACAGTTTACAATGGAGTAAAACAACCTTACATTTTTGGGACTTGATAGAAGACAGTTGTGCTAAGCTCAT